GGTAGAATAAGTATAAGGTAGTCTCGTCGTCCCGTCAGTCCGTTCACAGTACCTACATTGAGTGTGAGTGAAAGAGTCTATTTTAGTAAGTGCGAAAGAATCAGCAACATAGTGTGTGATTTAACCCTAGTGCTGTGGATGTGGTTTAAAAAAGCCCGCAATACCACACATAGATAGGGTTTTTTTTTACAATTTTTAATTGTTCGCCAAGGCTGCATCTCAGAATTTGCTCCCATAATGATTGCCATGTTAAACTTGTTGGTGCAGATATAAAATTTCCTTCGTACACGCACTTGCTGACAAAACAGCAATTATTAAGTTTTCCTTGCACTCAAGGGTTAATGTTAACAACAAAAAATCGTTCGCACTGAATGTTAACGATTTGGCAGCCGACGATACTACCTTTATACTTATTCTACCATGGTTCTATGCATAATTTGCGCGTTTTTTGTTTTCAGTTTTGTTAACGTCGTCGGCGCCGCCTCGCAAAAGTTGCTCCTCTCCTCTTCTTGAAAGAGAGAGAAAGCCAAACTCAAAAAAAAAAAACACCGCTAGCCGCAGTTAGTACGCAATTTTTTGTTGTTTTTCAAGTTTACCCTAATAGCTAAATTCTCGTGTGCGTGTATTAATATTTCTGTTTATGACAAAGTGCAATTTGTGGAACAACAAAAAGACTTCATTAAATTGCAACAAAGTGACTAGCAAAAGAAAGCTACAGACGGAATGCGAAATGTGAAGTGCGAGGAGTCGATTCGTCACGTAGATCGGGATCCTACTCTATCCATCAAGAGAAATATTCAGCACATATAGTATACAGCTCTCTTCAGAATATAAAAAGTTAAATTAAAAAAAAATTACTCTTAATATTCGAAAATAAGCCTCCGGGAATAAACCTCTAACTTATAAAAGCTATGAATTTGATTCTGAGAAAGTTAACCACTAATATTTTGAGCACAGCTGTATTTATTTGCCACATGCAAAACAGAAGTCAGCAATGAAGTTACTATTTTGTTATCGTGTGAAATTAACGGAAAACTTGCCATTAGCCAAGCGTCGACTGATTTGTTTTCAATTAGCCAAGAAAGTTGTATTACAGTCGGCGGGGAAGAGCGCAAGAACGTGGCTTAAAAAGCGAGAAATAGTTGGCATATCGATTTTTACTACCTCACTTCTCTGCGATTCCGCGTGCCTGATTCATATTTAAACTTATTCCAAACCGTTGCCTTCTTCGGAGTCACAATCCATTACCATTTCTTTTTTGGTATCTTCTTTCAGAACTATTATGCCATCGATTCTTTTTTATTGTTTATCTGTATGGCTTTTCGTTGATTAATTCTTCGTTCTGTTCTCTAATTTCTTCACTCAGAAAAATAAGAAAAATATTTCTTTGTTATATTTCAAAGGCTCTAAGGATTTATGACTTTATTGCTCTCTTTGTTTTAACTTAAATAATTAATTTATTTTTTATATAATGCACGGGCAGTTTAATTAATTTCCTGGCATTTTGCTAAGACAATTTTATAAGTCCAAGCATATATGTATATTATATATATACGGGCTTCTATGGTTTCTAAAAAAAAACTACCCGCGTCACTTCTAAAGACATTGAAAGGTGCAAAGTACCACTGGATCCCCCAATAGAACGTCGAAGGTATAAGTGACATCTCCTGAGCCATTAGAGCTATAGCAACGGTACGTGATAACTGGCATTCGTTTGGGGCCACATACGTTATACCACCTATACATATATGGTGTATACTGGAGAATCGGACATTGCAGAGCGGGACGACCTAATCAAGTGGCTCAAATTGCCGCACAAATTGAAATAGATAATGGCCCGCAAGTGACAGTGGCGACATAACGACGACGACTACGACTTAGCATATTCGGGATTAGTCATGCGTATCACTTGCCTGATAACTCACAGCAGACCAGCAGAAAAAAAAAATAATAAAAACAGATAAAGTTGTCGCAAAACAGGCTAAACAGTCACTCGAGAAAGTCATTCCACAGGTGTTTTTCTGGCTATCGACTTACCAGTCCAAAGAAAATTAGCATAGCCGTCTAGTTGGATGGGTGATGATTATCGAGAAACAATGATGAGCACCAATAAAAAATTCCCTCACGTCGGTTATCCACTATGATATCATCGCCTAACTTTGTAGCAACCTCAAGTCGATTCGCCGCTGAATGCAATGCCGAACTTCAATGTCAGTGTCATCCATTGAAAAAAATAACGATTCGAGTCGAAACATCTCTATATTTAAGTCCATGATGGAGCGATCCCCCGACATTCCGATATCCCCAATACTCATATCCGATTCCACAGCGCTGGGCCATTAATCATCTGCTGTTTGCACTTCTGATTCGCCGTATTTAAACATGAAGCGATACTTGGGCCGGCAATATAATAATGCCTCCGTTTATTTAGGCACATGTGTAACGGTAGAAAGTTGCCAATTTAAAGTGTACACATAACGGTAATACTTCTCCAAATGGCTGAAGACATTAGCCGTAAAATTAGCATTCGATTATAGAAGTCGTAGTTTCTGTCTCGGTTATTTAATCCCCTGTTGCAGAACCATAAAGATCCAAATGGGGAGGTCTTAAATGGGTTTTATTCAAACCCCAAACTTAGGATTACCCATCTGGGAATAGCTTTTAATATTAAAAATCGAACTTTGGCCACTCAAGTTTACCAACTGATATTAAAAATACTCTAAGAATGGTTTATTTATAAGTCTGGTCTACGCTTTTAAGACTTTAATAGATTTTTGGCATTTGAATTAATTTGAATATTTTCTAGGGGTACAAAAACCAGTTTCCCAACAATATTTTGCTAAAATTAAATTTCGTCCAATCCGCCCCTTATCCTTTCCTTGAGATTTATATTTTCAAAGCCAAAAATAATATATAGATAACTCGTGAGGCCTCAATGTTGCTGATCAATCAAGTTCGCGCTGCGATAAGTGATCTGATTTCGCCAAGTTTTAAAGACCTTGTTTCGAAACGATCGATTTGATAAACGCCGGAATGGGAATCGCCCTCATTCGTTCGCACTTAACGTTATATGGCATATCACTCGTTGTTTGTCTGTTAACTGGCCACTTGTGTGGGAAATCGAAATCGATAGAGGGTTATTTAACCATCTCCGCGATTCGAAACAGGCAACAGTTTAATTACGTCTGATTGCTCAGCTGCATTAAGCAGTTGGCTCTGATTCATTACTATTTAAAATTCTAATTCCATATTCTATGGAGTATATATACACAGATAATCGGAGACCCGTAAATGGCCATAAATTTTATAACATTTATAAAGATATTTTTATTAAGAGAAGGCGCAGATCCAAACCGTACAGCGGCGATAGGCAAAGTATAAAGTTCACAAGCCATCCGAGAGCAATTTAATTTTTATTTCAATTAGCCAGTTCACAAAGGCCCCCAAACACTTAACGCTATTAGCCAAGCTCATTATTTTTGGCAACACCGCACAAGCCATGTTTATGGAACGTGATGATTTAAGGCATAACCACAAAAAAAAAACATTTTTCATCGTCGCCTCATGATAGCTGAGGAATTTTTACTTACTCATGTTTATTTTCAAGGGGAACTTTAGTGACTGACTATAAAAGCCTTTGGGCCAAAACAAAAACAAAGCCGCATTGATAACCCAAAACAAGTCAGAAGAGCTGGCACACCGAATGGGGAAATACCCATTGGATGGACATGTGGCATCAATGGAAACCACTACTCTTAAGTTAATGAATGATTAATTGACACACTGAATTTAATAACAATTGCCAAAAACAAAACAGGTGCCATATGCTTTAAAAATCTCATAACCCCAGGGGTACTTGTTCTTTTTTGTGCGAATCCATGGGGAAACCGACGGAAAGACTCCATGTTGAGTTTTATATCTAATTAGGGTGGCTAATAGTTGGGCTAATTAGACGGGGCTACTCATTAAAAAGTAAACACAAATCGATTTGCCACAGGCAATCACGAATAAATACACAGTGCGGTTCATTAGGATAGGTCCAATGAGGACTTATTTGTGGATTAAAGATCTCATCCAGATAAAATTTTTTATCAATGTTAAATAAACATGCTTTTGGTTGTCATGCAAAAATGTGTTATTTATATGAACTTATCCGTACCCACTAATAGGCAAAGCGAATTGTATTTTGAAATCAATTATCACCGTTTAGTGCCATTAATCCGTTGTGTTGTCGTTCAAAAGGTTATTTACTGAATTGATTTCCCAATTAAGGGAAACTATACACTTCCTTTGGGAATTACTTGTGATTAACCTTATAGAGTTGTAATGCGCTGTTCGCGTAATTAAATCGTACATATGTATTGTTCGTATCAGAGCACGGGAAAAAATAAAGTAACTTTTCATTTAGCTTCAGGAATAAATCGCTTTCATTTAGTCTGGTAACTATAAAGATATTACGCTATTTTCAAAGACTTTGTAATTAAAAACGATATTTTTAAATACCTGGCTTTTTAGGATGTTTATGTTTTTTTTTTTCTGTGTACGAACAATAAAGCAAGTTGGTGCTGCAACAATTGCCCGTAATTTGCATGGTCGAACACTCACACCGCTGCAGCACCAAACTATGTCATTAGAATTTACTACTGAGTAAACAACGCCACTCCCCCTGCCTCCCCCTTTTTTTCTTACTATCTTGCACATATACAAACGAATGCAATGTAGAAGTCGCCTTCGCGATTTGCATTGTGTGCAAATGAATCGCACGCGACAAAAAACGCCCGCAACTCGCGCGCTTCTCATTGCCGCCGACGATTTCGATTTTCTTGGGCTTATCGCATTGCCATTTCGCCAGTGTTTGTGTGTAGGTGTGAGCCATTAAACAACCTGGCCGACAATTAAGCACTAAGCCAGGCACAAAAGGCAAATAGCAACGGAAACAAAAACAAAAACAAAAAACAATTGATAAAGCAAATACGTATGTACAAGTTAACTCACCAAGTCGACTTTGAAACATACTTTTAAGATCAAAATTGCCGTATACTTTTTGGTCAACCAACATAGCTTATTTCCTTGGGAGAGGGTATTATGGATGTGGCCCTTTTTCGGACAAATCGCGTATGTGTATATCGGTGGTATTGATAACGGGCTAAAAGGAATGCCCACCACCATCCCCTCCATCATCCTTATCAGCTAAAAAAAAAAACTGATAAGACGGAGCGTCTTTTGTAATCGGTCTGCTTTAAAATCGCTTTCTTGCCTTTTTTCCACTTGCAGATTTCGCAGCGCACAAATCGCACGCCATTTTCTAGCATGCTCTAGGAATATTACGAAACCCGATCGAAAATTTTAGGCGAAAACGCAGAGCTCTGCAAGTTGAGACACGTTTGACACGGAAACGGAAACGGAAGTTGGTGAAGGCGGAAGGAACACAAAACGAGTGAGGAAAAGCATTTGGAAGTCACGCCCACAACATGAGCAGCATGAAGGGCGGCTTCTCCACGCTGAATCGCTGGTTTGGCCGCAAAAAGGGTAATTAATCAATGAGCTAATAAAGTCATAAATAAAAATTTTAATATTTTGCCGAATTGAATCTTTTATGGATTGTCTAAATTTCTGCAATAAACACCTTCTTCGAACCAAATACCAGAAGACTAAATTGTTTACGTTCGAAGACCTCTTAAATTGAAGAAAACCTTTGTTTCAATAACTAAACTTTTCCCCTTTTTTATCCCCTAGACAAATCTGGCACTGGCAGCTCCTCGATGGGCAAGCTGTCCAAGTCGTCGACACAGCTGCACCATTTGTCCACGGACACGGACATAAACGAGACTAGTCAGCTGGAGTACAACCGGATAACTCCGGTGCCCGCGGCCACGAGCAACGCACCCTTCGAGCAGACATTCCGCATCACGGTGCTTCTGCCGAAGGATCAGCTTTTTGTGGCCCGCTTGGGAGCCAGAGTTCCTCTGAGCAAACTCCTTTCGCTCGTCTGCGACAATAAGCAACTGGATGCGGAAAAGTATGAGTTCCGGAATCCAGGTAATAAAAAAAAACCTATATACCATAAAATCTTAAAAAAGTGAACTGCTTCTGAATTGCCTGTTCTTCTCTTTCTTTTCAGTGGATGCTAGTCAGGTGTACAGTTGCGAGTCGACGATCGGAGCAGTGGGCCTCTCGGAGATCCGATTGTGCCACAAGTCGGAGTCCTACGACAACTTCAATCCGGATGTGATGCACAAGTTCCAGCGCACAGGAGCCGCACGGGATTCGTTGAGCAGCAGCTCGGATTTCAGTAGCAGCCGGCACTCAAAGGTTACGGCCAAGACGCCGAGTCCCTACAGTTCGAGCAACTCCCTCAACTCGATGGACTCCACGGGGATGAACTACACTCGCACACCGGTGGTTGTGCCACCGGCGAAGGTATTGGCTCCACCGCCGCGCAAAAGCGTACGGCTCCGAGGCCACCAAGTCAGATTTGTATTCCGGAGCAATCGGTTCCGGATATTCCGGCTGCTACTTTGAAGAGCGAACCCGCCTATGCGGTAATCGTGAAGCGTCCCCAGCTTTGCATGTCCACGCCAAATCTTTCGAGTCCGCCCGAGTTGGACTGCAATGGCAACAGCTCAAAATCACCGGACGATGACTCCGCGGAGGGTCACTACGCCACATTGGACCTAAAGCCGCCGGCTGCCGGAGGACCGGAACCAACGCCCCGGAAGCGTCTGCTGCAGATCAAGAAGAAAACAGCCCCGGCTCCTCCGCCCGATTCCCAAAGTGGTGGCGACACCATATCACTGGCTTCACTCCCGGAACCGGTGACACCCACTCCGAATATTCCGCAACCGGCTCCCAGGATCACAACACCTCTGCCCACTGCTCCTCCGGCAGGAAATATTACTGCCCCACTGCCCCAAACGAACGGAAACGTGAACGGCAATGGATCACCAAATGGAAATGTGTCCAAAGTCCTCTTGAACAGGACCCCCACCCCGGAGCCCCGATCTTTGGGCAGTGCCACCGAGGATGATGACAACGATGCGGCCTCGAAGCAGGCCGATTCGGGAATCGGGGAACCGGCACCATCGCCTTCGGTGTCACCAGAACCAGAAGCGGAGAAATGCCAACACGAATCGAGTTCCGAGGACGACGAGGCCATCAAGGTGTACAATTTCAAGCTGTGCCAGACGTCCAAGAAGGCAGAACCCATTGCCACCAGTTTGGCGGAATTGGCCGTACTGTCGGCCCAGGATAACGACGAAGACGAGGAACAAGCGGAGGAGCGGCTGGTCACCATGACCAATGGTCACACGGCCACGCCCAGTAGCGAAACGTCACTCACCTCGTGGAATTACTCGGTGCCCATATCGCCGCCACCAGACTTTTCCGATCAGCAAACGCAGAAGCGCAGTGCGGGCCCAGTGAGTCCTGGTTCGCCGCTGGACGAGATTGTGGACGAACTGGCGACCATCATCAATCAACAGCGTCTGGACACGTTGATCAAGAAACAGCCCGATCCCCGACTGGCGGAGATTGAGGCTGCAAAGCCGAATCGATTGGCCAATTTCAGCATAGCTACGGCGAAAAGTACAACGACGAGGATTGGACGAGCCGACTCGTTTCAGGCTGGAGGATCTGGCGCAGAGGCGGAGGTAACCTCACCCGGAGGTACTCTGAGTCTTCGCAGCTCCTCACACGTCTCGCTCAACAAACTGGAGCAGAATGGCAACGGCCTGGGTCAGAGACGCTCCTCCAGCGAGTTGAGCATTGGGGAATCGCCATCCCTGCAAAGTCTGGAGGTGATCAAGGGGATTTTAAATTCAAGGAAGAACAGCCTGGCAGAAAGTGGGAGCGGCAGTGCGTCATCATCGCCCATTACTGAGCAACCAAAGATAATAAGGGAGCTGGAAAGCCTGACCAAAGAAGTGTCATCGGTGGATGGCGTTAAGGCCGCCAGTCCTTCGTCAACCGAAGATCAGAAGCAGACCGCAACTCCTGTTCAGAAACAGTTAACCCCGGCGGTTGATAAGTCCCCCACTCCTGCTGCTAAATCCGTGCAGGATCCTTGTTATATTTCGAATCAGTCACCTTCACCTGTAAAACAATCACCTACTCCAATACCGAAACAGCAGATTTCTCCAGTTGAGAACCCTCTAATACCGAAACAGCAAATTTCTCCAGTTGAGAACCCTATATTACCGCCTGCTGAAAAACCTGTCCAGGCTGTCCAGGAGAAAGTGACTCCTTCGGTTCAAAAAACTCCTGCTGTTCAACCACAATCACCGCCGGTTGCCAAGAAGCAGCCGTCGCCTCCAAAGCAAGAATCACCTCTTCCTAAGCAGAAGTCACCTCTTTCGAATCCAAAGCCATCCTCTCCAACTGTGAAATATGTCCCAGAGCCATCTCCTCCACCAGCTCAAAAACTGCTTGTTTCACCACCTGTTCAAGCGGTCAAAGAGGAAACCCCCATCTCCCCGAGCTCCCAACGCACCATTACACCTCCGAATTCCCCGGCTACTCCAGTCAGTCCCGTCAACCTAAGAAACCCCGAAAATGGCAAGGCGGAATTCCAACCAAGTCAGCAGATTGAAACCGCTCCGGGCTCCAAACCTTTACCACCCACATATCGGTACTCCGGACCGCCAAGCATTAATTTTGCCACTTGGAGCGAACGACCCAAATCGACGGTGGCCATCAAGAACGAAGGAGACTACATTTTTGGCGGAGCAGGAAAGTCCCAAACGGTGACTTCCCCGCCGGCGAAACTCACCATCGAAGTGGCCTCGCCCATTCTGAGAATGGGGATACCCCAGAGAAAGGAGTACCATGTACCCATTACGGTGAAGCCACTTAAGGATGTCGGTCAGGATACTCAGCAGCCAAAAAGTCCGGAGAAGCGAGAGGTTCAGGAGGAAAAGGAGCAGCCTATCAAAGAGGAAACCCTTCAGGTTAAAGTGAAACCACTGGAGAAGCCACAAGTTCAGATCCAAAATTCAGTGCAAAGCCAATCGTCTACTTTGCCGCGACCTGCCAAAAGCAATCGCTTCACCCTGCCCGCTGGGCAAACCATCCAAGTGGCCCCCAGCTTGGCCAGTAACTCGCTGCCACGCCCTGTTTCTAGTTTAGAGAGGAATAAACCGGCGGAAGCAACGCCCACTCCGGCGCCTTTTGGTCAGAACACCTTACGCCGCACCGGATTCAAGGAGCGCATGTTGGCACGAGAGCAGCAGGAAAAGGAGCAGGCCCTGAGGATTAGGGTGTCCGTGAACGGAACTCCTCCTTTGGCCGCTGTCACGCCCACATCCCCGCCAGAATCGAAACCTGCCCCGCCGGCGAAGAACGTGAATGTGGTTTTAAAGTCCACCAAGGTGGAGCTGAAGCTTCAGGAGCCGATTAAGGAGCCGGAAACAAGGCCGGTTAGCCTACAGGTCAAATTAAGGCCCACTTCCCAGCAAGTGGTTACGCCCTCACCGCCACCACCGCCTCCGGGGCAAATGGTTTCGGCTCTGAAACCCGTAAAAACCAACGGCACACGCAGTGGTCCTACAACGCCGGATCCGCGTTCCCAGCTAATGGACGCGATACGGAATTTTAAGCGCGAAGAGCTTAACCGATCCTGATTCATCGAAAAGTACTAGAAAACTAAGGCACAAAATCACAAAAGGCAGCGCACAAGTTATATATTTTTTAACCGTTAACAGTAAATTTTTGTGTTGAGTTGTAAATAATTCCGAAAAAGCCAAGATTTAGTAGAATTTTTTTTACCCCTTCCCCGCGCTTTTGAAGCGCCTAATATCCCTATTTTTAACTAATCTTAGTTTTTTGTTATGAACTATGTAGTTTTTTAATGATTTGTTTTAGTCATTAGGTCACAAAAGAACCCAAAAAAAAACAAGATAAGAATACGAAAAGCTGAAAAATAATCTATATATGCATATGTATGTTATTATGCCTCTATAATAATATATTTCGTTTGTCATAGTTAAATACAATAACCAATTTAATAACCAATGGGACTGGTCTACTTAGTCGTGTCAAACAATTATAAAACAAATGGTAGCGAAAGCAAGCAAACCCAAAACCGCGAGTTAATAATGCTAATAAATTATTTTAAAGCAGCAGATGTTAAGCATTTAAAGCTCATGTATATATATGGCATTGTATTAAACTGAATAAAATAAAATAAAATAAATAAAAATTGTCTTTTACTCTATTTTGATTTGGCGGTTAAAAATGTGTGGACCTAGACACGGATTCTTTTTTGATTCTTTAATAATGCTAATAAATTATTTTAAAGCAGCAGATGTTAAGCATTTAAAGCTCATGTATATATATGGCATTGTATTAAACTGAATAAAATAAAATAAAATAAATAAAAATTGTCTTTTACTCTATTTTGATTTGGCGGTTAAAAATGTGTGGACCTAGACACGGATTCTTTTTTGATTCTTTAATAATGCTAATAAATTATTGTAAAGCAAAAGCAGTTAAGCATTTAAATCTCACATATGTATGTATAAATATGGCATTGTTTTAAACTGAGTAAAATAAAATTAAATAAATAAAAAAATGTCTTTTTCTCTATTTTAATTTGGCGGTTAAAAATGTGTGGACCTGGGCAAGGATTCTTTTTTGATTCTTTTAATTTTTTGCCTAATCCATAATCACAAAATATTAAAATAAAACTTACCCGTTAACAGTGCTGTTTAAAATTTCTCCTACTGTTAAACTTGTTTATCGATAACTGTGCTGTAAGTGCACCATATGACTTCTTCGACGGTATGGCAACACTGTCAGAGCAATAGGAAATTGTATAATTTAGTTTATGTTTTCATCGTCTTTTATGAAATAAATAAATTAAAATCGAGTAAATACCTTTACATAATGGCGTTGCGCATACTGAAGACCTTTAACCCGGTGGCAAGCCCACTGGCAACGACCATGGTTGGCGTACAGAGGCAGGAGTTAATTCACACAACGCCGGCGTGCTGTGAAATCCGAAAATTAGCCCGTTTGCGGGTGGTGGACAACAGTGATCTGGGCAAAAAGGCAATGGCCGAAGGACGTCCACCCAGATGCATTCATGTATACAACAAACGAGGAGTGGGCTTCATCGGCGACAAAGTGCTGGTGGCCATCAAGGGGCAAATGAAGAAAGGCATTCTCGTGGGACTCAAGCAAAATCAAAAGCCCAAACAGCCCAAGTTTGATAGCAATAACTTGGTCCTGATCGATGATAACGGCAGTCCCTTGGGCACTCGCATCCATGTGCCCATCCCAACGATCCTGCGCACCATACTCAAAGAAAAAACACTAGCGAAGGGAGCCGATTACACCAAGGTTCTGGCTATCGCCAGTAGATATGTTTAAGTTCTTGGGGATTCTTGAGATCCCGCATTTCTGTTGCTAAATGAATAAAGTTTAAACCAACTGAAACCGCAAGCCTTGTTTTCTAAGCGCGTAATAAACTAAAATACCTGTATATTCATGTTCTGCTTCCCCTCTTGGCCAAAAACTCATCAATTTAGCTTTTTGCTTCTTCAAACGTCATTCACAACTAAACTTTTTGCTTCACCAGATCTCCAACAATTCACCACTTTAGTTCCGTTTCCTTTTGCCTTCCCAAATCTCCAAATATTCTTTTCTTGTCTCCACAGCTTTGTTGATTTACTTCTGCAAGCGAGAAGTTTTATCGTATAACATTCTTCATTTTACCAATCCATAATTTCGTCACCTTTTGTTCAACTCCTGCTTTTCCATATGTGTAAACATTATTTTCTTCTTATCTTGAGCATTTAGTTACACATGTACTTTCAGCTTAACCAGATCTTACACTCTTATTTTTTCACCTCAGCATTCCTCTACCGTTCTATTCTTGACTTCCCCTCTTCGTTATTTTGTTACCTTTTGCTTCGCCAAATCTCCATAAATCCTTTTCTCCAATCCAGAGATACACACCTTCCGTTTTTTGTAGTATAAGTATAATGTGTATAATGTAATTGCGATCAGCTAGTTAAGTTTAGTTTCAGTAGTTTTGCCTAACATATAAGTTATGATGCAGTTATGTACACATGGGCGTTGCAGTTTAGTTTACAGTTTTGTAGTCGTCGTTTTGTGATAACAGAAATGCACTTTTTCAGTTCCAAGGAAAGCAGCTAACTTCGCTTTGGGACGGCAGGCAACCCATCTCTTTCACTTTGGTGGGCGAACCAAAGCCGTCCTTTCGCCAAATCGCTTATGTACAGAGGGACAAAAGGAAAAATATATAGAAATAGGATCGAATAGGATCACATTGATCACGCAGGATATAAGTACAGGTACAGCTTGCTGTCTAAATATTTCCAGCACTGCCGAAGAACTGAAAGTTGTTGAAGTTCACCGGCGTTTTTGGGCTGGGCAGGTACAGAAATTCGTCGTTCTGCAGCTGCGATTGCGTCAAATTGGGTTCACTGGCACTGCGATGGATCTTGGGCAAAGTGCGCAGCATGTTCTCAAGCATATTGAGCAGCGGTCGAAAGAGTGGACGATCCTTGGGCGTATACTTGATACAGTCCTCGGCCAAACGCTTCAAGGCTTGGGGCGCATCTGAACGCACTTGGCTCATATCCGGTCGCAAAAGTCCTCGTCCCACCATAAAAAGGATCTGATCCTTGTTGCTTATATGGCCGTAGGGCAAACATTCCGCCAGCAGTTCGTACATCACAATGCCAAAGGCGTAAACGTCCGATTGGAAAGAGTAGGGATTAAGCTCTTGCATGCGTATGACCTCCGGAGCCATCCATAATATGCTGCCCGTTGGCTGGTTGGCCTGCTTTTCGCCAGACCAGCGAGTCTTCGCGGTGGCCAGTCCGAAATCGCCAATTTTAACAGACAGATCCTCGTGCAAAAAAATATTATTCGACTTAAGGTCTCTGTAGGACACAAATCATCAGTTATAACATTCGAAATCTTCCTATTTATAGAACCCACCTGTGTATTATATTCTTAGCATGTAGGTAATCCATTCCCTGGGCCACCTGGCGACCAATGTCGATGAGCGTGTTCAACTTGAACTTGGTTTCGCTGACATGGACGTGCTTGTACAGACTACTGCCCTCGCACCATTGGGTCACGATGGCTAGAGAGGGTTTGGACACGCAGCCCATGAAGAGCAGGATGTTGCAGTGGCGCGTCTTCTTGAGCATGGCCACTTCGTTTTTGAAGGCCTGCAACTGGGCGGGACTAGGCGTCTTCACGTTGAGCGTCTTTACGGCCACGGGTCCGTGCCAGTGGGCACGGTAAACGGTTCCGAAAGAGCCCGATCCGATCCGGGGCCCAATCAAAATCTCCTCCGCAAGGATGTTCTTCAAGAGAAAATTGCAATGCCAATAAAGCATATATATTCAAATAATGGTTCTCCATCTTACCCAGTTCTCCTCGGAGCTCTTGGCGTCCCTTGAAAGCAGATTCTTATTGCTCTCATCGGCGGATTTTGCCCTGGGACGATGCTTCAGTGTACTCGTGGGCGACGCCTGTGTGGAGTTGGAGTGGTCCGTACAAGGATGCTGAAAGAAATCAAGATACCAGATCAAAACACGACCTAGTGGATGGAACCGCAATTCGCAAGCTTACCGGCAACGGAGGCCTGGCCTGCATGATCAAACTACGTTGAACTTCACTTGTAACCGAGCGAATGTTATTGATGCACACATTGGGCGCTGAATTAGACCGATCATCCTGGCTAATTCTGGGAGGGCGGCCCTGTCGGTGGTTTCCGGAGGATGACGATGGTGGCTTGGAGCTGCTGCTGCTGCCGCTGCTGCTGCACCGCCGACTGCGACTCCGGCTGCTCACATTAAACCGGACGGCAGTACCGCGGCCGGGAAAACCCACGCCATTGTCCGGATTCTCGGCCAACAGGAGCTGATAATAGCTTTCCATGGGAAAGGGCTGGCACAACATGGGCACTCGATTGGCACACCTCTGATGGAAACGGAAATTGCACTGGCTACAGTAGAACCCAGTGAACAAGAGCCTTCGACAGCCCTCACAAAACACCAACGAAAAGAAGGTCTTCCTAATGATCTGATGCTTTATGTGCGTCCTTATAGGGAACTTATCCAATAGCCTCACAAAGATCTCCTCCGTATGCAGTGTGCCAATGTCCGTATTCCAAGGTATAATAAGTCTTCCTGAATGCGTTGTGGTCACTTCGCACATATCCGGTGTCAATTGGCGCAGTTTCAGGGCTTTCATCAGAGCATCACATAGCCGCACACCCGAAATCACCTCCACCGAGGTGCGCTGTTGATTGGGCAGGTGGGCTCTTAAAAGGATCTTGGGTTGGCGGGTCAAGGTTCCACATTGGCTGCCCGGTTGGGAGCCCATGCTATCCGTCAGATCATTGCCATGTTGCTGCACTCGGGCCAGTTGCCGCTGCTGCTGCAGGATTTGGGTTTGATTCTGGTAGTGCGGCTGCTCCGGCTGCTCTGGCTGCTGCGAATTCAGTCGCTCCATTAGCTCCTGCTCCTTGGCCTCCAGTTCATGGAGCTTGGAGGTCAACTCCTGGTATTCTGCGGGGGTTTAAGGTGAAAAGCAATTAGAGGCTATTTAAGATTGGTTTTCAAGTTTAAAATGTTTACTAGCGAGATGAACATATTTATGGGTATATAAAAAAGAATAATACATGTATATCCTTTCTATCGAAAGCCATAAAAGATGGATATGAGAGATTTAGGATTTTTAAGCAGCTGCCTTGCCATTTTTTTTAACTTACCCATTAAGTACATAGCTGGAGGCTCCTGCAGGTTGGCAAACTTTGCATTGAGAGCATCTATATTTTCCCTGGTCACATGCTTAACCAACTGGATATTGTGGAGCTCCTCGGCCAGAGGATCGTACAGATCGCTGTCGCCTTCGGTGGAGGATTCGCTGGACATGATGCTGCTGCTATATCTTATATCTTGTGACCATGACCCCGAAAATGCAGAAGCCTTGACTCCTTGACTGAAGGCGAAAAAAATTCTGCGCTTGCGTTTTAGTGGAGTTTTAATGGGTGAGCCACCCACATCTACTCTCGTAGGCGGGGGGCAGCATGTCGTCCTTGACTTTTTATAGGTATTTCAAACTTTTCCGGGTCCAAATATTCTGATTTTTCGCCTGTTCAACGCCGATTTCTGGCTTCTTTCTTTTCCAATCTTTTTACCAGTGCACCCACACACCTGCAGGCGCACACAAACACACGCACAAGCACCTTGTATACACGGCCTGTATGTATAATGAAGGTCAGTGTGTGTAAAAGCAGCTGAACTTGAGGATTTTCCGAAAGGATTTAGGGCTGTCAATTTTCCGATAACATCCAGCCGGCACTATCGATGGCTGGCCAACTATCGCACTCGTATCGCAACAATACAGCAGTCTTTTTGTTTCACTTTAGTAAATGATATGCATTAATATTTCCTATGCTTTACCATATTTTCGTCTTCAAGAAGGTGGTGCTATATATCGAACAATAACATCAAATGCAAGAGTTATCGATTTGTGTGGAGTTGTACACTAGTATCAAAACATAATCCTTTGTATTATCTTCTAGCTTTTACAGCAGTCGATGTTTATGACTGAGGTGTTTTGCGGTCAGGTACTATAGTTTTTCGCGCGGTTTTAAGTGATTTAAGCAAGAGTAAACACACAGCTTGCAGGCTAGAGCTGGAACGAAAATCGATGTTTATTAGATACTAACGATGTTTTGCTACAACTATCTCGTGCTGTTATCGTAATGCCCACATCGCATCTTAACCAAGTGGCCATACTACAGTCGGGTGGCAACGCTAGTTCAGTACCTCCCAATTGACAACAGGTGGCGTTAGACAGCGCGAAATTTAAAACCAGTTTATAAATATATAAAAATATATATTTATTATTTCTTCAATGAGCTTCAATCAGCCGCAAATTCTTTTGTTATATGCCTAGTTACAAAACTTGACAACAAAGCACTCTTTGAAATGTTATTTAATCAAACTCCAAATCAAAGCAAACATTGAAAATATTGTTTCAGTCTTTTTGTACACTTTTTCATTTGTATAGCACTTCTGTAGCTTCGAACACTAGTTCTTAATTTAGCTAAATTTTATGTGAATTATATAAAAAAAAAAGAAAGTTCGGTCATTTTTTATAAAAAAGTATATGAGATAAACAAAACCTACAAAAAGAAATGATGGTAGGTACAATTTTACGGAGCTTACAAGTCTTGCAAGTACCAAAACACAAATTTCATCAAATTACTTTGTAATGTTGCCAATCACTTCACCTTCACCTACAGCTTGCGTTCCTAGACGAATCCGCGAATGAATATCAAGTGGCTAATATGGCTGCATCTCCCGTTGGCAGGAGGCGATTGACCCAGCGACCACAGCTACCAGAAGTCATCTACGTCCAGGGAATTCCCTACATCAATGGACGCCGGTTCCCTGTTCCTTGGCAGCCTCAAGCTGAAAGGCCCACTCGAGGTGAGTTTTCCAGTTTTGTTCTTATCAAGAAGATCTAGACCAGTGTCCAATTTTGAGGGAATAATTTTTGATTTCCTTCCTTCCAGTTGGGACCGATGAAGTGCCCACCGTTCCGGAGCGGAATGAGGTACAGGCCAATGCGACTATCCTGAGGCTGCGACGAACCAGGAGGACTGTGCCCCTGGTTGCCGAAAGAAGGTGTATGTGGAGACGATGTGCCCACACTTTGCCGCCGTTGGGGGAAGTCGATGAACACGAGACTCAACCGCTACTGCATTTGGCCCTGGAGGCCCTCAAAACGGAAAATGAAAAGGAAAAGGAAAAGCGGAACTCGGACAGTGTGGGATCGTTGGGACATTCCGTAGATCCCATCGTCAATCCATCGCAATTTGTCGCAGAATATTTGGCCAACTACATGACTTTCGAGGTTCTGCAAGCCGGGAATAGGCCACGCTATGGTCCCTCACAGGAAAACGGCACCCGAATGCACTCACCGAGGAACACTTAAGACGGCAAAGCCCCATAATCTCCGTATTAATCGGCCGTATCGTGTTTTATTGTCTCCAGGAACTGGCATTTCGTGAACTTCTTGTGGAATGAAAAACATCCATCTGGCAGTCTTTGATTTTAACCTTCTTCTGTAATCAATGTCGAGTCTCCAAACTAAATCCTGAATCCACCAAACTGACAAGACTTTTACTACATTATTTCGCATATATAGAGACTGCCACAAATTATTTCCCATAACGATTGTTAATCAGCAGCCACGTGGGAAATCGGACAGATTGTAAGATTGAATGATTGGAACCGGGTCACTCCGATACCCTTGTGCTCCTTCCTTCCCCATGAAACCCGCGCTTCTCTATTACATTTAAAGCAACTTGCAGCCCAGCTTTAATCAGAAGCAAATCGCTTTTAATTGTTATTGCGACTATTTGTAAAATTGTTTACAATCTGAATTCGCATAATTATATAAAATATGCATGGCAAACAGTGCGTTTCGAAATGACAAGATCGTGGGAGTAGATAAGGCCAAAGAAATCATTTCTACTTATTGACTATGAATCGTACTGTCACCAGAATTGATGTCAATATATGTACAAACGTACATATATTGATTTCATTTATATACTATATGTACTTAACGTTTTGTTTTTTGGTCATGATTAATTGATGAAAATGATGGAAATGCGGTTAATGATTTATTTTGAAATCGCACTCCTAATCGCATGAATATTTATTCATAATACTTGCGTGTTTATAATATACGAGTATGTACAAATATGTGTAGTAAGTCTGGCGTATATGTAGTAAACTCGATTCTGTTTACAAGTTGGGACCACGCGCCGTTTAAGTGATTCGCTGGTTGGCTTCTGTTTCATGGGAAATGGAAAAGCTCGAGGTGAAAGTTCATCGGGACACAAAATTCTCTTGTGGGTGCAACGTCCCCTGATTTTTCGGGTTTTCACAGGGGGGCGTTTCAAGGTCACCAGCCGGCCAGACGGATGGCAGACAGTTGCCCCAACTCTCGATTTCCGATTCCCGATACCCGACCCCCCCAGATTACAAACACGGAGACGACGGTTACGGAGTCGAAGAGTCCGGGAAAACAGATTAGAGATGGGTTTTGTGGGTCAGTGGTTCCTATTTCATTGACGGGTGAACTAAAACCAAACCAACCTTGAAACGCCGAGTAAACAAACAGTTTCTGCTTATAGTAATTCTATAGAATTTAATTCATTAGACTCGTGAATCAACTGAATGGTCAGATCCGAAGTATTAGTTCTGTTTAAATTATTTAATAGTACTTTCCTAAGTAACTGTTTTAGAATACTTAAATAACTTTATCAGGAAAACGAGCTGTTGCTTTACTTTAAATGCTTCTTTCATTGTAAATTTATCTTAAATATTTTTTTGCATTTATCTACCTTAATTTATATTTTATTTTGTTTAATTTTCAAAGAAAGCAGAATAGAATTGGTCAGTTAGTTTCTTGAAAAGTGCACAGATTACCTTTGAGTGTTGTATTTATAAATTTAGAAATTGGGCTTATGGATTAAATTGAAGAACCCAGTTGATTCAAAGACCTTGTTAATTGGCCAATTTTCTGAGTGCACCAAGTTCAAGGTCTTATTTTTTGGTTTGCTCAATCCCAGTTCAGCACACTTTGAACCACGCGCTGGTGGCAGCGTTTTGTGTGCCAGACGTTGACCTTGAGGCCTCTTAACCGATTGCAGTTCATTGGCAGCTCGAAAGCCGCCCAACCCCCCAAAAAAGTAAAAGCCAAATAAGAAAAAAGGAAAACATCCGAAAATGTGTGTCTATGCCCGCCGGTGGCTGCTTCTCTCGATTGTTGCTCTTTGCTCTCTATCCCCACCGCCCAGCCACCCAACCGCACAACCGCACAACCACCCAACCGCCCAACCACCCACTTCAACACCCATCACTTCCCATCATTGTTGTTGCTTTTTTGCGTTTTTGGGGTCGTTGGCGACAGTTTATTGACATCGGGCGATAATTTCGTGAGCTGTTTTTTCACAACGCTACAAAAAAATGAAAGAATCTTGAATATTTAAATGGGAGTTGAAATGGACATCAAAATGCCAAGGTGTGTTCCCAGTTTCAGATTGGCTTCTTTCAAGGAACATATAATTAGCAGTCTATTATACCATTCCATTGTAAGTAAAGAAATATTTTCTAATATACTTTCTTTGCAATTAGTTAATAAAGTAAATCTACAATAAACACATAAAAACATAAGCAGGTACCTTCCTATTTAAAGCATTTAAGAATAAAACCAATAAATTTGGTTGTGTTGAAATTGTTTCATGCAGAAATTGGAATTTATTTGAAAAGAGCTGAAGTAAGCCTATTTGATGAAATCATAACTCGTTGCTTTGAAAACAAACAACTCTTTAATGGAAATATTTTTTACAATTTGCGACTACTAAGCCATTTTATCAGTTCCCAGAATTGTTTTAAAGAACTAAAGAGTTATCCAGAATTAAAAAAAAAACAAGTTCTTTGGAAATATTTTCTCTTTCTACATCAGTTTAAAATAGTTCATACTTCAACTTAATTTCTAAGGAGCTCCATCGCGGAATTTCCAATTAGAGTTAGTTCGATGGAACTTGTATTTTAATTGCAAAGTTCAATTCGCTAGAATGGGAATTTGATTTGTTATTGTTTTTGTTGCCTATATATATTACGATTGCAGACTGTTGTCGCCGATGTCTAGGCTTTTGGTATCAACAACAAACCTCCTCCACGCTTCTGGGTCAATAATCTGCGTCTGAGCTAAAGCTTCGTTTTCCGAGCTATAGACTCGCGATGTCTTGTTGTTGGCGCCCGATTGCCGCATATGTCAATCAATGAAGATCCAATTTTAGCACAAGTAAACAATATTCGCTCGATCGCTCCTGGCTACCCCCTTTCCCTCCCTTCCCTCTCATGGGGGTGGTGGAGGGTGGGGGCGGTAATTGCGGCGCCTCCCACTAGCTCCTTATCGCAACCTCTGGCTAGAGGAAAAAACCAAGAGCCCGCTCTTGTTGTCCTCACTTACAGTAGATAATCTATCGAAAAGATCGATCTATCAAAATCATCAACCTTATTTTCACAATCGATTTGTATAAAAAAAAAACTTATTTTTTTTGCCAGCTGTTATTTTTTTATCCTGACAACTGCAGTCAAAAACCATTGCTACCCAGTTTCTTAGTAAATCCTAATTATCTTCAATGCTATAATACAGGTTTAAGCAATTATATTGTACTGTTATTACCAATCGATTCATTCACTCATCGGTTATCGATCGGGTCCGATTTGAATCGTTGACCCTGACGTGGCGTGCCTCCCCGTGTGGGTCTTCCCACCTTGGACTCTGCACCGCATTGCGTATTGCTCATGGCGCTCCAATCCAATTCATCCGACCAACAACACAGATTAACGCCCATTTTCAATCGCCGCCTCTATAAGTCTCTTCCAAAACAACAGATGGCATACATGCACTGAAAAAAAATGTTTACTTCAGAACATCTAAAAGGAAAACTGATGGTTTTTCATCATGATTTTTGATCAATTACCTCCTAGAGGTTAGTATCACGAAGAATGCGTGGAGGATCGATAAAATTTGAAATATTTTTCTGAGTATTTATAGGCCTTGGCTTATCGCCAATGATGACTTAGCACATAGGGCTCCACCCTCCGCCCTCCCACCTCCCTTCCCACCCACAGGCCTTACTTCTCTCTCACTCTCTCTATGTTGTTTTCCTCGCCGGAGAGCCGAGATTAATGCTAAAAATAGGGATCTTTTATTTTGAATTGAAACTAGATCACGATGAATTCACGTTGCCGTTGTTTACGGTTTTTTCACTGACGGACGGACGGACGGACGGCGAGTACCGCCTGCGTTACGCCCCCCAACCACCAACCACCGCCCACCGACCGACCCGTACCGCCCCCCTTTTGGGCTGCCCCATTGGCTTCCGTTCTTCATCTTCATCGCAGTCACAGCTCCAGCAACAAAAACATCAACAAGCTTATCGCCGAATCGTTATCTATAAGCCAAGCCAAGCCCAAGACCCCGTACATAGGGTATATCTGGTCGTATATAGGGTATATCCAGGGATTCCAGAACGTGATTTCATCTTGATTTCATGAATCTCTAGATAACATTATCTAAATAATGCTTAAGATGCCAATATTACCGTCCTATAATCGTTTGTGCCTCTCTAAAATAAATCCTGGTTGGTTCCAGCTTCATTACCGATATCAACGTAAAACCTTATTCGAGTATTTGGTTGTTTTGAATTTGATTTTGTTTTGACTATTATCAAAATTTCATAAACAACATTTCGATTTTGAAATGTTGACAATAAAATGGTGTTTGTGAAAACATTGAGCAATTTATGTCGTCATTTTTAAGGTACGAACCATTTAATACATGTTATTAAAATCAATTGAACAGTTAATGTTAAGTTAACAAAAAGCAATTATATTGGTTAAAATTGGGGGCAGGGGTTACGGAAACAACAACAACATATACATGTACGTACATACACATATATACATATATGTATGTATGTATAGAACACAACAGCACACATAATAAAATAGTTTGGAGTCATCTAAGCGTCTGAACTTTTTCGCTTTGACGAAGCGTTACCGTTAATAAGGAAAATGAAAATCAACAAGTGCATTTATATATAGAGCGCGGATTGGATGCTGCTTTTCCACTGATGGATTCACTCTATTTATTGTTGTTGTGCTTTTTGTTGCTGTGTGCATTTGTCACTCACACTCGTGCACAAACATGCCCCATCACCCCCACATGCGATGTTTGTATGTACTTTGTTCAAAGGCGATCTTATTAATATGATTATTCCATTGTATGGTTTACAGTCCAGCTTTCCTATCTCGAATCATAGTGATCTGTACCGATATTTTCATTCTTAAAATTTGACTTTTAAAGAATGTTTCCAACAAGAGTGGAGTATTTCTTATCAACAGAATATTTATCTGTGGGTTATGAGTGGTTCTTTCGTTTTTAGGAAAACCAAATTACTCATTTTTTAATGACCGAAAATGTGACAAACAAAAACTTATTTTGCTTGCGCAGCATAAGTTAACACCCAAGACGCAATTTGAAGCAACGGCTTGTAATAGTGAATCCGGATTGTGGACGTTGGCCTGTATTAACGCGCTCAAACACCCACACACACCAGCAAACACTCGGCCCCACGGTGACCCAAAGTTGATTGAATGTGTCATGGCCGGCAAATTGTTTAATTTTAAGCTTTTTTCTGTTTTTTTTTTTTTTCTTTTCGCAAGACACTGGACTTTGCCTTCCAATAGCTGCCGTCTCGCTCGCTCTTCCACCTGCAGTCCACGTGCTTCGCGTTTGCTGCATCTCCCCGTCTCACTTGCACGCGCGTAATGTGGGTCTTCGTTTAGCGCTGGCTTCGCGGCAACGGTTCTTTTCCAATTTGGCTGTGAAACAACGAAGAACGTTCTTTCAATCGAGCGAAGAATTCGCCAAGAGTGCATTAAAAGCTTCGAAAGTGAAGGAAAGAAAGTGCGAAAATAATTTAATCCTAGCAATCTTCTTGATTGCTCAGAAAATTCTTCTCGTGAAACTATATGTTTGAAAACCGAAGACAGGAAGTGCAAAGAGCGTTCTTTCGAGCGAGCGGGAAGAATTTGCTAAAAGTGCAATTCGAAGCGTGGAAAGCGGAAGAAAGTGCGGAGCGAGACAGAGATAAGAAGCCTTCTAATTATAGACCCCACTGGTGGTCTAAAAATAAACATCCACAAACACCAGCAAACAATTAGAGAGAGGGAGGGAGAGAGTTGAACAGCTGTTGATCTCCCACTCTCCCATAGAAAGAGATAGAGATAAGGACGAACAGAGAGCAAGCGCAGCAATACTACGAGAGCAGAGTGAGAGAGACAGAGAGAGAGGGGGATCGCGGGAGATAGGAATACGAGGTACTCGACTCCCAAGAAACGGCAATCGGCAGCTTTACGTTCCAGCATCCAAACGTCCAGCTTCCAAAAGCGTTTCAAATTCCAAGCCAGTCGCAACGTCAGCGGAATACCGCTACAATTCGCTAAAATTCTCAGTCTCAGTCTGCACGTCTCACTCAAGTCTGCGGTTCGACATAGATACATCCGCACTCTTCTGCTCCTGCCACAATACGTCACGCGATGCAACAACAACTAGTGGGCGCAGCAGCAGCAGAAAACGCAGCAGCAGCAGCCGCAACAGCAGTAGAAAACGCATCAGAAGTTAGCCACTTGTTCGATTGCCCGCACTTCAATTGTCTATCGATAGAAAAAGGACTCTAATCGTTCTTTAATCGCTGAGCTTACGGATATCGATCGTTTTGCTGTTATATTTTTTTTTTGCACGTACCTAAACCCCGCAAACCTCTAAACCTTAACCAAACCCACCAATTACCGAAAAAAAAAAAAAAAGGAAAGGATGTTATCCCCGTTATTTTTAGTCGTTTTGTTTTTCGTAAATTGATTGTGATTTTGAAACTGTGTGATCGCAAAAAAAAATCTGCAAATTATCAAAAAAGAAAGTTCCTTAAGAAAGTGATAATCCGGTAGAAACTCTAAAGGAGAAAAGGAAGCGCCCGAAAACATACATATACCATATGTGAATCGAACCGTACAATATAATAAAAGAATATCTACAAACCAATGTATATTGCACAACAAACCTATATATCAAAAACATCAAGCATCATATATCGAGGACCAAGAAGGAAACCAGTACACACTATTCAAGCCCAGAAAGAGGAGCATGCCAATGTAAGTATAAACATGTGAAAGCTATAGAGCACTTTAGCCCAAGTTCGAAATAAAAGCTTAGTATCATAGAATCATCTAACAATAAATACTTAAGAGTCGAATATAACCTCATGAAAAGCTATTTCTTATCAGGACTCATTTCGAATTGAAAGATAAGGAACACAGTGTTTCATAAGGCTAACAGAAGAAGTTGAAGGTATTTCAAGGATGTGAAAAGATAGTAATTACCCCTTTACCTATCTGTTGCATTCATAAAGACAACCTTAACCTCTTCCCGATCCTTATCAAGATCAAAGTAAAACTCAAGCCAAGATTGGTTCTTTCCAAGAAAAACAAGCAAACTAACCGAAATCAGCAAAGTGGTGAACGAGGTCTATATATAGACTTCCAGCATATCGCTGTGAAAATGAAAGCGACAGAAGTGGAAAAACATTGAACCACATACTATATATAGAGTGTGGTTGGAAGCCGAGTTTCCAAAGGAGAGTCATAAACGCAAACAATAACAAAAACAAAGCCGCCACATGGGGCATATACGACCCTCCTCCCCCAAATTCCATGCTCCATGCTCCTCCCTTCCACACTCCACAGTCACTCTGACTTTCTGATTGTGTATAAAAAGAACTCATGTTCCAAATGATAAGTGCGGGAGCCAAGCGAGGCGGCGGGCAAATCGGTGGGTTATTTTTAAACACTGAAGTTTATGTAAATATATTTCCTGGCCAGCCCCAGACACAAACAATAACAGAATCGAATGGAAAATACAATAATATTTGAGCGCTGATAAGGGACCCAACCAAGAGACCCCAGACGCGTGTGCAAGGCGGAAGAGAAGGGGGAGTTATCTGTCCGGTTCCAAAGAAATGTGTCCTTAGTACAACACACAATACTAGGCAATACTCCATTTTTCAAGATTTTGAGGGGATACACAAAAATGTTGATAGGATAATCCCGATACCTTTAGCTTTTGCATGAAAATGATCAGAAAACCATTAACAGGTATTTAGTCGAGTTTAAGTCTTATGTGTTTGGTATTCATGATTAGGGATTCATAAAGGGTTCATCGATTGAATATTGGGTAATCATGAGGTAATAATATAATGCATACATTTCAGATGATTCCCGAAGTACCGACGTCCAGAATCCTGTTAGTCCTGACCACCCTCGTCGCCGTGGTGACGCTGATCAGCAGTTGGGTGCCCCAGGTGGCGGGTAGTCCACTTCCCCCCGTGGAGTTCGAACACAGACGGACGGTGTGCTCGACTGAACTCACCGACTTGATACAGCGTATATGTGCATCTGGAACGCTGTCCCACGGCGATATCTATCGTAAGTCGATGCTCGGTTTCGTTCAACAACCATTTGACTTGAACTTTAAGAATAGTTCGATCTTATTTTATAGAGAACAGTTTTGGGAAGCGCAGGAAGCGAGATAGCCTGAATGTCGCGGATCGGTGCTGTAGATCGGGAGGATGCACCTTCTCAGAGCTCTTGAAGTACTGCAGAGATTAATATCATCCTACTCCGGTGCACTAAACTACACTCCACACTCCACATTACACTTTTGCACTCCATCACTCGTAACCCCTAAGATAAACCCAGCAGAAAGCAGACTCCCGTAGAGTACACTAAGTATATTTTACTAATTTAATCTATACACTAACTAAATTCTGTACAATAAAATAATCGAATGAGCGAGAAATCAAATTGTCCATAGCATTTCTGCGATACACGAGTACCATGAAGATTAGTAGTTATTTGGAAAATATAAACCCCTTTCCAACATCTTTTCATTTAAGTGGTATTATGTAAGAACCCAATGCTGAGAAAAGAAGAAAACCACTCAAGTTCCTTCGAAAATCCACTTGCCAATTAGATTCACAACTATCAAATAACGCCTTGCAGTACCTTTTAGATTTTATTATTTCAATTTCCGCTCCCGAATCAAGAGCAATTTCGGGAGAAACTTCTGAGACGAACCCGTGGAAGCACCCCCTCGAGCTTGGACACACCCCGTTTCATTAGACTACTCCATTGTTGGCGTTATAAACCCACAAAGCGAAATCTATTCAGAGTGACACTCGACAAGATTGTCATGGGTTTGAGTTAGGGTTAGGGTTTTCGGGCTTCAGTTTGGGTCACATACAATATACAATATGCACACCCCTCGAATGAATGGCCACCCCATTTAAATTGAATGCCGGGCGTAAAACTTTTGAAAAGGACACTCGCTCGCTGGACTGGACAACACCGAGTTCTTGGGTCAAATGATGATGATGCTGATGATGATGATGAGATGACTACAAATTAGATTACAAACGCTGACGATGATGATTTTAATGATGGTGCCAATCAGCCACACATGGGAGTACGAGCATCTCTTAACCCCATTTCAGCCAGCTTACCCCGATTTACAAGCGTCAAATCTCTATGGATACAAGAGCTCTCAAATTTGCCTTATTCATGGAATAAAAAAGACAAATCAAAAACTCTGTACTTGGGATTCGCTCGACTTCACATCAAATAAACGCATTTTTGTACAGACACCCCCTTGCTGTTATTTTAAATCAGTTTATTCAACCCTTTGGTATTCACAAAACTCCTACAATTAACCAATAAAACGTCATTAGGAAAACGATTATTTAGAAATGAACTCAACTGGATCCGACTAGTATAAAATTATAAACGTTTATTCAGTTAACCTATATCAAATGGTTTAGGAATACAAGACGTGGCATAAATTTATCTGAATGTCTTTTTTACAGTAGGAATTTAGAAGTTATTGTAATAAGAAGCTACTGGGAAGGTTTAGGACAAATCACCGGCTTAAAACTTTTCGGTTAATCAAAGTGCACAAGTCCCAACTAAAAGATTCGTATTACATGAACAATTTGAACTTGGTTTGATTTCGGCGCAACGCATCCTTTAACGCTTGATGTAGAACCGACGATAGTAGAGGGCCCGACTTATAAAACCATTTTGCGGCTGCACCGCCGACCTTTCACTTTCGACCTTTGGAATCGCCGGATCCCCCAGCTGGAGGCTGCGATTGGTTAAGCCTTGGTCTTCGTTAAGTTTGGATGGGCTCATTTTTGTCGAGGATGGAATTGTAGGATTTCGTGCCGACTGTTTGGAATCAAAAATATTGCAATAATATTCAAATGTAAATCAGCCGCACTTGGCACTCTGGATTCTAACACTCACTTGAATCCATGGCAGGGACCATCTGGCCTTGTCTATGGTGGGCAAGTCCCAGCGCAGGAATTTTCCCACGCCACGGAGCTGGCTAATCCACTGATTCACTTTAGCCTTGGCCATTATAAAGAGCGGTTTGAACCGAGAAGCGAAAGGGGGATAAGTAACGGATTGGTGTGGAAAAATTCTAAAACGGCAAAATTTCGATATGTCGGATTTACGGTAAAAATATATATTTTTTTTAGTCCTACCAGTAGGTGTGTTCTGGATGCGAACAAAAATGTAACTGAGCTAAACGGACTGAAGTTCCGGGGACTGGAGTTTGACAGTTGGATTTGTCCGGTCCATGGACTACTTGTTAACAACATTTTCGAAAACGAGATTCTGATTTTGATTCGGTAGTAAAGAGTAAACCTATTTCTAGCGAATTCAAACGACATTAGGCATTTCGCCATATTTCCTTAAGCGAAAGTAATCTGAATACTTTTGGGCTCATTTGAAATTCCTCATAATGTATTCATCAAAGTATTCCTATAGGGAAAGAACTTGATATTTTAACATTATTACCAATACTTGGTAGCGAATTGAAAAGGAACAAAGCACTTCACCCAGTGGACACTCAACGGACACGTGTGGTTGGATGTGGAGAACGTGGATGACAACGTCTGGAAAAGGGAAAAGCCAGGAAAACGAAGGAAATGGGGAGAGACACGGGGAGGATAAACGACACCAGACAAGCTCCGCCGGCTTTGGGTTTGGAGTTCCGGGTTCACCCTACCACCGAACCAATCCGAACCAAACCGAACCGAAGCGAACCCAACCCCCCAACCCCCAGTCCCCACTCCCACACTCACTCGACATTGATGGAGCGAAGCCATGGAACATTAGCTGAATCTTACAGAAAATTTTGCACTTGGTGGGGCGAGGGGTTTCAGGGGTTTCAACCTCCCGAGAAGCCCACACCACTCCAGCCCCTTCACGGGGTTGCAAAGGGAAACACAGCTCAAAGGGTCCGCATACAGAGGAAAAAACGTCCATGATCATCTTGCTTTGTTTCCTTTGCAGTGAACAAATTACCTATTATAAACGTTTAAGAGTATCTTTTGGAAAACTATGATAACTTAAAAACTATGATAACTTATCATACACGTAGTTCCAATAAACGACAAATTCTGTGATACTTTTTTCTCTCTCTGCAGCTGCAGGGATGCGAAGGTTGGAGATGGGTAGTGTCAACAGAAGTCGTATAAGGACACGTTCAACCCCAGAAGGGAACGCCGAGCGGAAAGTACAGGAAAATCCCAGCCAGCCAGGCAAGAGTTGCGAACTTTGGCTTGGCTCAACGATTGTCCTGCTCTTGGACCAAAATCTCCTTTTATTTCTGCATTTAGTTCACCCAAAATTCGGGGGAATGTAATGAACCAAAGAGGCCCGAAATAACAAACTAAAGCGTAGTTAAACAGAAACTGTTTCAATAAACCATGAGCTCAGCTGACATGCGAAAAATCAGAGAGGAGTCTGCATTAATCAGTAGAGTTAGCCCGATTTTGATCAACAAAAACTATTTAAATGGCCATTCTACACCAGAAATGTTTAGTCTATTCATGAATTTAGGAGGTAAGCAGCTCGTACATAAAAGGAAAACCTATTGTTTCCGGGACATAAAGTCCCAGGGGATGCAGACGATGCCGTCCGTGGGCACCGACCAGTAGTTGGTCACGTGTAAGCTGAGCCCGCGACAGGACTTGATGCCACTTTGGAGCAGGTGCCGCAGGGCCATGACCATCTTGTCCGGCGTCACGGAGTCATCTTTGCTGAGTCGCTGCAGGCCGAGTTCCTCCTGGCACTGTCTGCACAACTGCCGCTCCACTTGGATGTCCCGCCGATAGCGGCTGAATCTTCCGCTGGCCACGTCCAGATTGCGGCAGATGAACTCCACGAGATCGGGTCCGGAACAGGAGGCGGGGGCCAGGAACAGACCCGTCTGGCTGACCTTCGGAGCATCGCAATCGGGCACGATGGCCAACTGGTGATCCTGCAGGGTGGCCGGCAGGTCCTGGACACTCTCCTCCAGCTTTAGGTGCTCGGTGACCGCCCGAATCACCCGCTTTAAACTTCCGGCGTAGGCCCGAGCCTCACAGCCCGGATCGGGAACCTTGCGCCTCTCTATCCGGATCCCCAGGAGCACGGCGGACAGGGCCTTCTCATAGAGAGGAACCAACTTCAGTTGCTCCTCGTGCAAACGCATCTCGGACAGAAAGGAGAGCCATCCGGCGGAGGAGTCGCCGGAGAAGAGCATCACATCGCCCTCCAAACTGATGCCAGTGTACGGTGCGAAGGCCACGAAACGATTCCTCAGAGCTGCCAGCTGGTTGGCGTTTACTTGATCCTGCGACAACTCCTGGAGACTCCGCAGGCAATCGTGGTAGCGCACCATGTTGCATCCACAGTCGTAGCGGGTTCCCCGGATGCCCAGCGACTGGAGCAGCGAGCCTTCGAGTGCCTCAATCTTGGAGCGAAGCGAGGTGGCCTCGGCCTCCTGGGAACGGGCCACGGCTTGCCGCACCCAGGTGTCCAGGGAGTGCTCCTGCTGCTGCTGCTGCTGGGAGTCCTTGAAGAGCTCCTTCCAGAGCGTAGAAGTTCCTCTGCCCCGGCGATTGCGGTGGTCTCACTCTCTCCCTGCTTGGCTTAGATTTCTTCTTGGTGAGCACCTTTTCCAGTTCCTTTACCATCTCCTGTTCGATTAATCGATTAATTATTACATTCTATTCTATCGTTATCGTTATCGTGTTCATTCTATCGTTATTATTATTAACTGTACCTCTTCCGGTTCCTGCTCCTTGGGAAGAAGCTTGCAGGAGCGCAGGATATTCCTAATCACCGCTCGGGGATCCAGCAGACTGCGGTCCACCTGCACCCGCACCAGGCGACTGACCGCCTGTCCGCCGGCCTCCTCCGGACCCGAGGACATATAGAACTCCAGCTGGCCGTCGGGGGGGAGGCAACTGCCCGAGCTGCCCGTCAGGGACTCCAGATGGGAGCTGAGCAGACGCAGTGACTCCTCGTTCACACGCATCTCAGCCGGACTATGGGACAGGCGATCCGTCTGGATGGCCTGGTAAAACGGACGGAGAGCCGTGACCAAATCCGTACTCAAGAGACGTCGACAATAGTCGATAATCCTGCGGCGACCCAAAAAGCCCACAGTGGCCATCTTTTACTGATGCCGAATCGTTAGAATTTTGAAAATTATAAAACTTATTTTGATCTCGCTCGATGATGAGATGACAAATTTTGCACTGAATTCCGTTCTCAACCAGCAGGGGAAACACAAACAAAGCAACACGGAGAAATATAGTATATAATGAAAATATTGATACGGTCTCGTAAAATATTGAAAGTGATTACGAATTTCAAAAAATCAGCGAACAATCAATTTACATTCGACAACTGGCGAACAAGTTAAGCAAACGTCAAACAAAAATTGCAAATATTCAAAGTAAACATGCATGCACGTTGGTTGAACCGGCGCATACAACAAATAAATGTAGTTTTTTAATAAAACATGAATTGTAGCTGCTGCTCCAAAAGGTAAAAAAAAAAAAATAGCGAAACTGTTGCCCTACGGTTACCCATGTGTGATCAAAACGGGGAAACGAGGAAAGGAATATTGAGGCAATCCCAGAGGCCACATAAAATGCACCCGTCCTCCATTCCGAAGCGTTGACTACAGAACACCAGAAGCAAATAAAACGGTGGCCCGCAAAACACGCACATAAAAAAACGTCGCACGTTAACCCTATAAAGCTGAAATTTGTAAAATATATAGAGATACATACATACATATGTATATTCTTCCCTCGCACATTCCTTTTATCATGCATGATGCTATGTGGTTGAAAGGTTTAAATAAGACAACCTTCGAAATCCTAGCAAAAATGTTCAAATCTGGCAGGCAATTCTTTAAAATTGTTCTACTTATTTTAAAGAGTGTTTTATTTCCCTAGTTCAATTGTTTATTTGGGTGGTAGCACAAAGTGTTCACAATAGTGCACATTTTATTTTATTACTCTTCGGAAACAAAACGGTGATAATCGTGGGTTAAAAGATAACGTAAACATAAAGAGAAACACTTGTTTGTAAGTCAACGTTTAAATCACATTCGTTTAGAACTCTTCGAAAGAGAGCAAAGAGAGAACGTCGGGCGGTTTTGGTATCTAAGTGAGCGACTGTGGGAGCCAAAAAGCAATGGAAAAGAGAAGAGAAGAATAGTTTGGCACATTTGTGAGTTTTTTTCTAGCCGGCTTTGCCCATGGTACAACTATATAAGGTAGTCCCGTCCATGGTACAATTATATAAGGTAGTCTCGTCGGCTTTTTTTTCCCCCTATCGACACTACAATTAGAGCGAGAGAGAGAGTGTTTTCCTATGGGTTCGGGTCGATAGGGGGAAAAACCCGAACGATTTTGCAGCCGACGGGACTACCTTATATAATTGTACCATGAATTAGAGTTTCTCTCGCTGTGTGTGTTTTCCTACGAAAACCCGAGCGTTCGGGTCGATAGGGGGAAAGAACCCGAACGATTTTGCAGCCGACGGGACTACCTTGTATAATTGTACCATGGCTTTGCCCATTCCTTCCGCGACGACGACGAGAAAAGATCATTTGGTAAAAAACCGCACGGCGTTTAATTCGTTTCGAGGAATAATCATCATGGACAGGAAGAGACACATGGACACGTCGGACCTGGTGGTCATGCTCCCCTACAAGAAATGTCGGTGCCTCGTCTGCGGCAAGGTGTTCCACAGCAACAACATCAAGCGGCACTACACCCTCCTTCATCCGGACGTGGTCCTCCAGAGACCGCCAAGCGCCCAAAAACAACCGAAGCACCTAAAAACCTCTAGTAAGTATTCGCAAATACCGAATAGTATATACCAAATACCGTAATATGTATATATGTATAAGTAGAAGAAAATCCCCATTCACTCACCCAAAAAATAATCTATGCCTACTTTGAGCTACTCTTGAATTCCGTTACCCAATGTCAATTAGTAAAAACCAATTTTTGACTTGACGACTTGTCTATTGGCTTGTACAGTCGTACTTCTGTGACTGAAACTTTCTGGTTAGGGCTAGAGTAAACTTGTAATTAGGTTTTTAGGCATACCAGACTGTGGCTAAAACAGCAGTAATAACCACCAGACAGACAGCCACTCAAAGCGCAATAACAAGGGTAAAATATTGCATCTCCGGCAGCTGCGAAACATTTAGCTGCGCGGCTCAAACACGCACTCGCCCCCTCTCTTTCACCCAACCCCCACTACCCGTCTCTTTCTATCCCGCAATCCTCCTCTTCTTCTCATCGCACTGCAGTTGAAAATTACTTTTCGCATGTGCTTTCAGTTTCTTTCTGTTTGTGTTTTTTTTTTTCGTTTTTGTTTGCTGTTTCCCTGCCCCGTTTTTCATCGTTTGCTTTTTCACACATGCCACTTATTAACCCCAGGGTGGCGACGAGTACACAAAATATTTATTTTTAATGTATCATTACCTATTTACCGGAAACTAAAATCGTGCCTCTATTTAAATCGACATTTGTCGTTCCAAGCTTAATAACAGAAGTCTCTTAAAGTATGCAATTTAATTCTCAAAAAAACTGAATCATTGTTTTATATTATATTTTTTTGTCGATTATTATGCCCTACTTGTAGATCTGAAAGTGGGTCGCCCCCAGGTGGTGGACACCGGCAAGTTGTGCGAGGTTCTGCCCGGTGGACGACGACTGAACAATAAGGTAAGTAAGCATAAATATGTACATATATGCATACATATGTACATATATATATATATATATATATATATATGTATATGTATATTTTACGGTTTATACGCACTTACCGAAACATCACTAATCGAAGCGAAATGGGAGCTAGGGCCAAAACTAGAAATGAGGGAGTCGCACTGTAGATATTACATTTCACTCTATACAAATGAACCCTTCTGCCTACACACAAAGCACCCTAATTAAATTAAACTAATTTAGATCAACGTTTATTCCAATTAAAGTGGACTGAGCGCAATCAGCTGCATTTACATACGATTGCTCTGGATTATTTTTTGTATCCAGAACAGTTCAACTGGGAGTTTTACTCTTCGTTTATGCGTCGCTTCTTATTGCGAAAAGAAATATTTATTAAACACATTATCAATGGCCAATGACCAATGCATTGGCATCAAATAAATTCCCCAACATATTTAAAGATATCTTAATAAATTCATTTCCAATTCATCAATTTAATAATTGTAATACTCCTCCGCATAAACGTAGAAATTAAGAGTGACCCTCAGCTGTTGAACCACAGCCGAAACGCAACGGCAATAACAACAACAATAACAAAAGCAACAACTCCGCTGGCAAAAACCGAAACCAAGACAGACCGAAACCGATTCCAACCGGTTCGGTGTTTCTGTGAAACCGTTTTTCTCGGTGGTGGCGTTCGAGTTCCGCTCTGTGAACCGCTCCTCTCTGAACCGCACTTTTTTCTCTGGTTCACCGGGGTTTTTCGCTTTTGTTATTGTTATCTACGCTCCAAGCTCGGGACTCGAATTAGTAAGCGAACGTAGCTCCAGTACAGCGCATCGCAAATACCAAAAAGACCAGGGCTTCGCAAATTGCGGCAACCGGAACAATGTACAAAAAGAAGCATCCGAACCCGGTGTCCAACCACTTTGTCTATAGCGAAAGGTCGCGGAAGAGCACGTGCAAGGAGTGCCACTTCGACATGGCGGGTCGTCATTCCGAGAACCTCATGCGGCACCTAAAACGCAAACACGAGGCGGTCTACAATGTCGTCGTCGCCGAAAAGCAGGCTATCCGGAACCTCATCTCCAAACAGAAAGCAAAGAAGATCGATGATGACGTTCCGGAGGCCCCAATTCTGTCCTCAATGTTCCACTTCCCATCGGAACCCAAGAAAATTCGCATCGCGAAGGTAACCTAAAAATCGAAATATGGAAACTTCTTTTTTGAATTGTATTTTAAAAACTCCTCCCAAAGGTTTCTTAAACTGTAGAATACAGTATTTAACGGATTTATAAAGAACAAACTATAGAACCCCCTATATCTGCTCTTTTAGGAAGCCACACAGTCGGCCAACACTATTGCCGTAGTTACCACCACCGAGAGTCTGGATGATGAAGACGAGGGCGACAAGGAGAACGAGGACAACGGTCCTGGCAGCCAATTCCACAGCATCTTCATTGGCAAAACGGAGCTGGCGGATGAGCACGATCTATCTGATGAATCGACGACCACCTTGGCCTCCAGTTCAACTTATGGCCACACAATTGCTCCTGCTCCTGCTCCTACTGCTGCTCGTCTTGAACCGATTCCCGTCAATGATCCCACTTCATCAGTTCGTGCAACGCCATCGGATTGCCCGCTCGCCGGCGAGGATGCCTTCTATCTGCGGTATCTGGGCAACAAGCTGGGCAAGTACTCCGCCCGCACCAGAAGCACCGTCCAGTTCCAAATCAATCGGATTCTCTACAAGGCGGACTTGGGATGTTTCGAGCAAGCAGACCCCCAGATAGATGAATCCGACATCTAAAACAAATCTCAAACCATATGCTGTTAATTTTTGATCTAAGAACAACGCGTACTTCGTGTGTGTTTCTTGGCTCAGCTGTAAATAAATAATCCCACGATGTGAAAAACACCTAAAAAAGCTAACGATTTTAAGGGGTTGCAAGCTTAGGGGTTGGCAAAGGTTCTTATTGGTGTTTGGTTAACATCCAAAAGCGACATCCGCTCGTTTCAATTCTCGGCTTGTAAATCAGATAAATGAATTAATTTCAGATTGCTGGCGTATCGCGATGAAGTCAGTTCCATACCCAAAGTATCATTTACTGTTCATTGCCCTGTCCTAATTTGTATCCCATATTGACAATATGTAATTTCAGTGGTTTTTAGTGACCCGTAGTTATTCCGACTTCGCATTGGAAACTCCAAACTCCTGGGAGATATTTACTACCTGCCAAAACAAAAAGTATTAAAGTGTCCACAAATCAGGTCACTTACCCCCTTGAGTTTCCTAACTAAATATATATCGAGAGCATTTCGGCACACACATTTCGGATCGTTGGCCCCTCCGTTGGCAAAGGAGTCAAAGTGGCAAAGGGGTTTTGGGGCAAGTTCAGTACCCGCACGGGTTCAGGTCAACATCTTCGAAAATCCCCCAGTGGTGGGTGGTGGGTGAAAAGTGCGTAGAGTTGGGGCCTTTTGGCTTTCGTTTTTTCGCCTCTCATTTTCCCCCGCGGAGAGCAGATACATAGATATATAGATACGTGTGTTTTTGTTTGCTTGTATTTGTGCTCTTTAAAGCGACGGAAAGAGCAGCAAAAACTCTTCGCTGTGTGGGTCTGTATCTGTGTGCCGGCTGACCGGCTTTGTTTGTATCTCTCTTCCTGCAGAAACTTGGAAACGAAACCTGCAACGTCTGCTTCGACGGCCGACGACCGACAAGCGACGCCCCTCCTTCATGCCACAGGCCCTTCATCCATCCGTCTGCGTCGTCTGTTCGCATAGGGGCGCCCTGTGTACTTGCAATCCTCCCCAACTCCACCTCCTCCTCCGCCTCCCGATTAAACATCACTTCCAACCCCTGTCCCCTGTCTCCCTGTTCCACGGACCTTATAGAAATTCGATTTATGTGTAGGTTATGCGCCCAGCGTCCTTTTCGCCGGTTCATCACTAAATACCAACGAACTTCTGTAATTCTGTAATTCGATGAACCATCTGCCACTAGCACGGGAATTATGTGAATTCAAGAATGCAATATAGAACCTCTGTAAGCCAATGTATTACTGAAAAATACCATTTAAACTCCCATGAACTTAGGCTAAAACAATTAATTTCTATTAAACATAAACGTTTTGGAATAGGAAGCCCCGAAAGTTATCAACGCATTTCAGTCACGAAAGTTCAAAGATTTCTTTATGGGGATGAAACTGTTTGAAGTTTGGTCGCCAAACTCTAATGCCACTCAATTATGTTTAAGTTAACCTGAGATTTGTATTAAGGGAAGTGCGAGACAAGGAAAAAAAGAACCTAAACTATATATTTAGATAAAGGTTAGAGAGAGGGATTCCCAAGGTGAGTTCACTCGAATCTCTGATTCAACGAACACCTGCCTTTCTTCAATACCTACACTTCCTCACATTTGTTGTGTCCTTGCTTTCCTTGATTTGTACACACAAAAACACACACATTTCCAAATGAAGACACAGCTAGTAAAAGGGGAATAAATTGCACACTGATTATAGCTGGGAATTCCGTTCAGGAATTAATTACATTTTAGCCAGATCTCTTTCCAGCGCAATCGAAATGTGTTTGCCACATGTGGGCGTGCCACTGATAAGGCGTTCGTTTTCGGTACCCCCGGGAAAAGTTGAGGTTTCATCGGATGAATGATGATGCCTGTGCGACGATAAGAAAATGCTAAAAGGAACCTGAGCCTAAAGGGACGAAAAAAAAGACAGGACGGTCACCAGCCATATGGTGATTGGTGATTGGGAAGGATTTTGAATGCCACTCCAGTTAGGGAAAATGGGAATGGAAAGCTGTAAAGCTTCGTTTTTCACACCCTCCAATTGATGGTGTCACATTTCTGGGAAATTACTGGAAAGTTTCAACTTTCTTTTTGTTAAATAAATGTTACTTTTATTTAGCTCTAATAACCAAAGATTATGGAAAATAACCAAGAAGATCTCTAGGGGGCGCAATACAGCTGAGTAAGAAAAACAATTTGAGGACTCTTGGCATTGTAACCTTATAAACCCCAACTGTTTACACGGCTCCAACCCCTTTTGTTTTTTTTTTTTTTTTGTTCTTTCGCCCCCGTCGGCGAAACCGAGTGAGCAACCAAACACCTCCGCCAAATTCCAAATACGAAACAGCAAATCCACATCGACATCCTCATCCTCGGGAGATGTGGGATGTGTTCCTCCGACTGCCAGACGGATAAGTAAACAAATTCAGCTTTATCTTCAATGGGAAACAAGGAAAACAGAGTTCCCCGTGGAGGTTCGCCTTTGATATTTAACAATCTTTGAACAGCTGAAAGATGAGAACAAAAACACCAACCTCGCAATGGATACAGACACACACGCACACTCACACTTACACACACACACATTTAGAAGAGCCACATACATACATACATATATGTAATGTTTGCAGACAAAGGCCAACAACAAGTTGCCATGGGAGTTGCCACCAAAATCTTTCGTTCGCACTCAAGGCAGCCAAATAAAAAAAAAAAAAGAAAGGAATCTAGCTTCGTCGAGCCGAAGCTAATATACCCTTGCAGTCATCCGCAATTAAGAAAAGTTATGCGCTTTCCAGGGCTAGTTTAAGGCCATTTTCCGGATTTTTGACCAAAAAATTGAAACAAAACTAAACTGATGCAGTTTTTTAGGGGAGTATGCCACAAGCATTTTAAGGTATACCAATCCAAAATCAGACATCATTAAAAAAGTTATGGGCTTTCTGATCAAAAATATATATTTATTAATGGGGCTAAGGTGTCTTTCACAGCTTGGCAAACTTCTGACTGAACTTATGATACCCTCTACAAGGGTATAACAACAGCAACATCAAGAAGCGCAACAAGAAGCCGAGGAATAGCTATAAAACCAACAACAGTAACGGGCGCACCACGAGCAAATGAAGTACAGTAAAGAATGCCTGGAAGGGAAGAAGGGAAGTGGTTTAGCGATCTTAAAAATGCGAAGAATGTGAAAACCCCTGGCGAGTTAAAGATTGAAACTAATGAAAACTAATAAGGGAAATAAAATGGATTTCCCTAAGCAATCCTTACTGTACATCAGCCGAAAGGAGATAACGCTTAACGAGAACACCAGCGAAATGGAAGTGAGGGGGAAGTAAGTAAAAAGGAGCAACAGGGAAAGGAGTCACCAAAAAAATAGTATAAATGAAACCAAAACATCCTGAAGGAGAGAGAGGGGCCAACTTATACACATACATACATACACACATACATACATATGCGACAAGGCTAATCCCAATAATGTTTTAGTTCTCACAAAGACAACAGGACAAAACCTTTCGCTATTTCCCTTGATTGATTCCAAAAATGGGAGGGAAAGTCGGGCGGGGGAGGCACTGGTTTCTCTCTTACATGGGAGTTATGCAAACTAGGCATAAAATACATACATATAAAACATATGAGAGGGACGGGAATTTGGGATGGTTTGAAAATTCAAACACAAAGGCTGCCGCCGCCTGACATTTCTCCCGCTGCTTGCATGTAATTCGCTTTACTTTTTTCTCCTTTTCGGTTCTTCCCCAATTTTTTTTTTTTTTTTTTTTTTGTAAATAAAATAGATGAAAATCAATTTGACGTGTCTTGAATTCTGTTTTAGGTTTAAAGAACTCGTTTTACAAAAGATAAAAAGGCGAGCAACAGCAGCGAAAAGGGAAGGAAAGGAAGAGGAACGAGGGGGACACGAATGGAAATAAACTCGAATTGTGTACACGCAAAGTGAAGAGAGGGAAGGGGTGCACAGGAAAAAAAATTCATTTAATTCTTAGATTTTAACGAGGCTGTTAAGGACCCATTTCAGACCGCTTTCGACGCATGTTAACCTAAAGGATTTGTATCCCCTTTTCAGTCAGCTTAAGGTTTCGTGAATCTACCCTTCTCTTCAATTCATATTTCAGTTAAAGCACTTTCTTTTTTTTTTTGTGTGTAGCTGAGGAGAACCGACCGATACAAAGTTGAAGTGTGGAGAGCATAAAAAAAGAACGCGGGGGAAACCTACATAATTCTTGTAAAACAAACACACGAAAATACAACAAACCGCCACAGAATGTGGAATACGAGGAGAACTTATCGAATTTGTCGCTCACATCATCATTTAAGGGTGGCAATAATTACATCAATCTTTTTACCATTTCAATTTGAAAACAAATCGAGCCACTCGAAACGGAACAACAACATCAACAACAAAAACAACAAGAGAATATGACCCCCCAGGGCAAAGAAAAATAAGAAAAGAATGGAAAAGCCAACTGAAGCGAACGGAACGCGGAGGGAAATGAGGCGAGAACTGCAGGCAGAAGTCCCGTGAAATAAATACAAATTCAGGATGGCTTTGTCGGATTCAATTTGGGTCTACAAACAATGAATCATGCACTCACAATCCAGATCAAGAAATTTGCATACCCTTGTCCCCAAATTCTGGGAGAATTAACAATGCCTTCAATGCCTATCCAATCTTGAAATAATTACTCATTGAAGGGGATTTTACCAATATAATTTAGAGTCCTAATCTTGCTACAAGGAACTTCAATGAACTTTTCTAAGAAAAGGAATTGTGTTCTAATGACAGACTTAACACCTCTCAACCAACGACACCTGTACTGATAATAGAATATTGATATGTTGCAGCTATGAATAATACTGCGTACAAACATGCCACAAAACAGCAACCACTGAACCGGTTTGTATTACAGTTCGAAAAGGATTCTGAGATGACATGCTGTTTTATATGGCAAATGGACAAGGGTGTTTCAAACCCTCTAGAGACTTCCACACAAAAGCAACGAATTTAAAATTGGTTATTTGGTCGCTTAAATGCGAAAATTAAGGACTCAAATGTGTGTTACTAGAAAGGGTAAAGTTAAGCATTTCAAAACCAAGTT